AAAATGTTTAATTTTTTTCTAGTATGCCTACTTTGTTTAGTCTTCTTTTGACATTTAAAAATGAGTATTGGTTGTTCCATAGAACAAAAGGCACTTTTGTCCCAGATCCCAGAGCATTCTTTCTGTATGTTGCTTCCACTGAAACCATTGGTTGCTCTGGGGAGGTCTGGGAAGGTGAGTTTCTGCAGCCTTGCTGCTGGGGACATTTAAGTCCAAAACTGAGTAAAAACTCAGAGAAGAATAAATACATATGACTGGAAAAAAGAGCAGGGAAAACAAAATATGTGAAGAATGGGGAGAACTCGGGGGGGGGGGTCCCTGGTCTTTATTTAGGGGAGGTTTTGAATTTGAACACTAAGGTAACTTACCTTTCCTGTAGAAATGTCGGGTAGCTGTGGGTTTGCACTGCGTTTGCAGTGGGCTTGACTGCTTTTTGTGTTACAGCAATGGAGCCCAGCACAATTGGTAGGTAGTCAGTAGGTATTTAATGCATGCTGAAAATATCCTCCTGTGGTCTCTGATGTTTGGGGCAAAAGTCGCTAAATAAGCACTGGCTCTCCATAGAAGTGCCCATACTGCTGAACTGCTTGCCTTCAGTGTTCTCTGAAACTTGCACGCCTTTCCGTGTCAATTTCACATTCTCAAGCCTCCCCGGATCTGCTTACCAGAGTCTCACATTTTCCCTCCACAGGAAGCTGAAACCCCACGTAGCGTTCTTGAAGAAATTGGACTGACATAACTCTCCTCCCCTGTTGATGACTTCTTGTGGCATTTCACACACTGTAGATGGTCACTGCCTTCATGTCCGTGTTAGCTAATGGTGTAAGATGACGTCTTGTCAGTATTCCTGTTCTGCTAAGCCGCTTCATTCAGGCCTACACAATCTTTTTTTAAAGGGAACTTTGGTTAATCAAGTGATAACAAGGGACTTAAATATGAATTAGAATGAATGCAGGAAAAGAAAGGTACTTTTTCTGGCTATTTTAAAGTTTATAGGTCTGTTTCTCTTGAATAGATTATTATCATTACCTTGATTATGTGTATCTATGAATATGACACAGTCAGGCAATATACATTTATTAATTACTGTCTTTGGCAAAAAAGTTAAATTATGTGAAACCTGGTTTTATGAAACCAAAGACTAGTTCATTTTAGTATATATGCGAATAAAGGGAATTGACATGTCACATATCAAATGAATAAAAATTTCACTCTATGTTGAAACTTTAGAAAAAAAACTAATGTATACCAAAGACCCTTATTAGAAACTAAACACCTTAAAACAAAGGGAATACACAAAAGACTAATGGAATGATGCTGTTTTACACTAAAAATTATTTCTTAGGCATTCCAGACCTGGGACGAGGAACAGAGATCAGATGTTTCATAATAGTAAGCACGTTATTTTTAAGGCCAAGGAACATTGGACTCCTGAGATAAGTTTTTTGTTGTCATAATCATTTAGTCACTTAGTTGTATTCTTTTTGATGCCCCCAAAATAAAATGGAAATGTTGACTTACCAGGGATTCTTAATAACAGTATGTTACGGAAAATATTTTACTCCCTTCACAAAGTGTTGCATAAGTCATTGTTTAAAGCAGGAATATTCCTTCCAGGGTGCTTGTTACAGCCAAATTTATTTTACTCCCCTATTGCTTCCCTCCACTTAGAAGTGCAGCAAACTTTAGGGCAGCTTCCTTCCCTTCTATGGCACTCCCTAGTTATTGGAAGTCATAAATATGAAAACAGATACCACCTCTCATATGAAAGTGTGAGTTGAATGAGGTAAAATGGCACTAGTGGGCTCTATATTTTTTAAGGATATACAGTTGTTTCAATGTCACTTTTATACATACTTCTATGTATGTAAACATGTCTTCACAGTTTACACTTTCATTTGTATCTGCTGGGCTGGATTAAGCTTTGTTGTGATTGTGACCAGTATTCAGGCCACGTGAGCACGTCTTATCACATCGCCAATTAGTTGTAATAAATGTTCAATGTACACCACTGTCGTGTGTTTTTATCTGTCTCTTTCCAAAAGTTTGTCAAATTATGAAGAGCTGCTGAAGGAAGAATTTAAAGAAAAAATTTTTTGAGTAAAATGTTGAAAATTCACCCAGATTTGAATGTGGTGGTGGTTAAAAGCACACACAAGATAAATGGCGGAAGACTTAAGGAGTCTTCATGTACTTCAAGCTCATTAAAAAATAATGTGGAGTCCATGCTACTGAGAGCTTATCTACACATTTATTTTCAATCAATAAATACTGCTTTTAAAACCTTGATGCAGTTGACTTTCTCTTTCTGAATGAGCAACTCAGATCACTCCAGGTAATCGGAGGTATTCCAAATCAACTGGAGTCCTCCCCCCACACACACTAACTGGAGGTGCTAGCACACTTGCTGAAATGGACGGGTATGTGCCAAGTACTGCCTAGTATGAGTAGCAAATCAAAATTTTGGTTATCATGATAGTTAAGGGACTGCCTATTAACTACAGATAGGAAATGTTACATACAAAACTGTGGATTTTTTTTTAAGTATACTCATTGATTTCTAGAAAAAATAGGAAAACAATGAAATGAGGATATTTAAGATCAAGGAAACAACTACCATCAAACGAATTTGCTAGTCTGCTAAAAATAGATATGTGTGCAATTAAAAGAAAAGGATACGTGTAGATTTAAAGAGCCTCCAACATGCAGCTATCTCTTCACTGAAAACAGGCATATGGCCTTCTGCTGGCAATGTAGAGTTGGAATTTTTGAATCATAAATAGTAATCAAATTGTAGGTTTAAAAAAGGCATTAATAAGTCTAAGTTCAAGATGGACATTTATCAGGATAATGACCCAGTCAGTGGTTTAAAAACTACTTCCTTCCATCCCTCTCATACTACCCATTAACACTTGGAAAAGTCACCAACATCTCTACCTTGAGGACAAGCTGGTGTTCATCTCGTTTTTTCTCCATGAGCTATTAAGATGAATATTCAGCTTTGAATGCCCACATTTAATTGTGTATGTCTTGGCTGTATTTAGAAAAAGATTGAAAAATTTTGAATTTAGTGAGAATTATTCAGCATTTGTAAATCCATTAGATACTTACAGAAAATTTTCAATCATTTTTAGGGTAGAGGCATTTAAATTCTGGAACAAATCAAATTTTCTTTTTCTTTTTTTTGGCCGCACCACATGGCCTGTGGGATCTTAATTCCCCGACCAGGGATTGAACCCTGGCCCACGGCAGTGAAAGCGCTGAGTCCTAACCACTGGACCACCAGAGAATTCCCACATATCAATTTATTTTTTCCACATATCAATTTTTAAAGTAAAATGTATTCTGCACCATATAATTCCTTTCCTTTAGACTACAGATTAAAGAACTTTCATTTTCCACAGATACCACTCAGAAATCCCAATCTTGAAGACATTTCTTTTCCTATTTCTGTTAAACTCAGTATTTTGTGCGTCCTTAAGTCCTTATTTCCAAATCTCAAGTTGCCAAATGCCACATACTCGGAAACTCGAGATCTCCAGTACGTCAATGGAGAGGAGGTTACCAAGAAAATAAAAAACTTATAAGGAAGTATGAGAGCATCTTTTCTTTATGATCTGAAACCTAAGAATGATATTTTTGTCTTAAGCTTTTTATTTATTTTTTTGGCCATGCAGGGTATCTTAGTTCTCCAACCAGGGATCGAACCTAGGCCCCTGGCAGTGAGAGCGTGGAGTCCTAAGCACTGGACCACCAAGGAAGTCCCTAATTTTTTTTTCAAGCAAGTTTCTCTGACCACTCTTTTTTACCAGAATTGCTTTAACACCAGGCATATTCAGTAGCAACGAACTCTGTAACACTGTAAAAAAGATGAACATCCTAATGGAAAACTATGGGGTAGGAGGGAGGGGAAAAAATTGACTCCACCCTTTAGTACTTTAAGAAAGTGAATTTTAAAGTAAAAAAGCTATTCGGCTATTAACATGTAAAAAATCTAACAATTATTAATAATTTGGGGCAAACAACCAAACTTAATACCCATTAAATACGGAAAAATGTGTTTGGCTTAGCCAATATGTGCAGAGATGAATAAACACATAAAATTTACCAAACTGGCAAAGGTTACAGTAATTTGGTGCAGGAACAGCAAAATTTACTGTTGACGGTAAAGTGTTTTGTAGTCTTTATGGAGGGCAATCTGGAAAGACTTCTGTATTCATATTTCTTGATGTAATTTATCCTAGGGAAATGACCAGTAATGTATGAAAGTATTTAAGGAAATCCACCACAGGATTGTTTATAGCACAGGATTCTTTAATAGTTCAAAACTTAAAATAACTTAAAAATCCAACAATAGGGATACTGTTAAATTGTTAGATCCAAACTATGCAGTGAGTGAAAATAACAGTAACACTAGGGCTTGATGAAACAGGACAATGTTTGGTGTGAAAAAAAGCATATTCAACTCCAGACATATATGTTATCTTTGTGTAAAAAAAATGTGTACACACCCATACACCCATAAGAGAAAAAAAAGACTTAAAGCAATGCTCCAGTGTTAATTGGTTTTATGTTTTGTTTTGTTTTTTTGCAGTACGTGGGCCTCTCACTGCTGTGGCCTCTCCTGTTGCGGAGCACAGGCTCCGACGCACAGGCTCAGCGGCCATGGCTCACGGGCCCAGCTGCTCCGCGGCATGTGGGATCTTCCCGGACCGGGGCACGAGCCCGTGTCCCCTGCATCGGCAGGCGGGCTCTCAACCACTGCGCCACCAGGAAAGCCCAACCGGTTATATTTATGGGTCAGGAGTATAAATAATTTTTGTGTTGTACACATTTTATGTTTTCTAGGTTTTCTATAGTAAGCACACTGATTACCGGAGAATAGAAGTATTTTAAAATAGGGTTCCAGGCTACATAGGCTTTTGCCAGACTTGCTAACCCACGTGAGCTGAGAGCCCTCTATCCAACTACGCAGCCGCCATAATAAAGGGTGGACAATCACTGAAGGACATGGTAAGTTTATTTGGATTTGGGGCTGTGCAGAGTTCAGTCTCGGCTCCCCGACGTCCTCCTGCCGCGGCTCCTGGACCTGGAGGAGCTCCGGCTGCGGCTGCGGCTGTGGCGGCTGCGGCTGCCCCGGCCACGGCTGCGGCCCCTTTTTCTTCCTCTGCTTCGGGAACTGTGCCTCTCCCGGCTTTTGGACGCGTGCTTGTGGGATTTCTTGCCCCCGTGGCTCCTCCTCCTCCTCCTCCTCTCGGCCTCCCCGTTCCTCTTGTAGGAGTGGGCCGGCCCGGGGCTCCTCCTCCTCCGCGGCCTACTGTAGTAGTCGTCGTGGCGGCCCGGCCGCTCTCTCCTCTCTGAGTTCTTACTGAAGCAGGAGCCAGTCCGATCCGGAGACAGGTACATGTCTCGATTCGCTTCCCAAAATTCATTGTTGGGATTTCTGAACACGTGAAGAAAGTTGCAGTGTTTCCCTCTTGGACACTGCTGTATTTCAAATAAACCTGCAGGGGCACAGTGAGGAAACGGCATTTACTGCTGGCACTTCATCCTTTTCAGAAGGTACATTTCTGATGTTCGCTTGTGATAGGACTATTTTCTCCTTACGTACATTGATGTCATAGTTTGGTTCCCCGAATTTCAAAAATATTCAATGCTCTAACAAAGGGCACTGTGAAAAGTAACAGATAAGAACTTTTAATTAACCAGAATGCCCTGTTCCCCTACTGGATTATGGTGTTGGAGTGCAACCCAACCAATGGCGACCACATTATTTTTTCTAGGCTTTTACCATCCTGCTGACTGACAATGTAGATCCCTAATTAACAGTGAAGAACCAGTCCTGGGAGTCCCCCTGGCAACATGCTTTGAGGGCACGGCGGTGGGAGGACCAAACCACTGACCAAAAGAAAGAGCCTATCATAAGTAGAAGATCCTGTATTTTCTTATACTTCAAGAAGATGATAAACACTTGCCTAATGCTTTAAATTTACCAGGTGCTTTTAACATGGAAGATTTTTGTCAAAGGTGAAATCTACTTGAACAATTTAGAGATCTTTTGGGGATTTTCAAACTTTTTTAAAAGCGGTGAATTCCCTATATATGTAAAAGAGTTAAAAGTGAAATACCTCCATACCACACACTATATACAAAAAGTCAGTCAAAATGGATCAGAGTCCTAAACGTAAGCTATGAAACTATAAAACTCTTTGAGGAAAACATACAAGTAAATCTTCGTGACACGGGCTAAGCAGTGGATTCTTAGATATGACACCAAAAGCACAAGCAAAAAAAGAAAAAAAATAGAAAAATTGGACTTCCTCAAAATTAAAAATTTTTGTGCTTCAGAGGACAACATCAGCGTGAAAAGACAACCCACATGATGGGAGAAAATACTTGCAAATCATATCTGCGATAAGGGACCTGTCTGTAGAATATATCAAGAACTCTTACAACTCAATAAGACATATAACCTAATGAAAAATGGGCAAAGCATCTGAACAGACATCTGTCCAAAGATGATATACAGTGGCCAATAATCCAATAATAAGGACACGACAAAATACTCATTAGTTACTAGGAAAAAATAAAGCTGTTATTTAAAAAATAACAAGTGAAATAAATAGTCTCCTGCTTTGGGGGAGTCAAAGTCACACTCAGAAGCACCTCACTGAAATGGAGAAAACAGACCCATCTCTTTCAGCACCCCAGTCTTTAAATCAGGCATAATGGTTCTTCTGGTTTGCCAAAGCAAGGAATTCTAAATTCCTTTTTTTTCTCCCTTCAAATAAATGGTTTTTAAGTGAGAGCATCCATTAAGACCGGGTTGCCAAAGACTCAGCCTTTATAAATTATAGATTTTGAAATAAGAGGTTTTTAAGCAGGCGAGTATAAAGCAAAGCAACGCAAAGGGTAAGGGAAGTGGTCCCGTAAGGCATGGGCAGCTCCTCTCGTAGCTCCCGGAGCACTTCAACAAGAAATGGTTCGGCGAAGCCCATCTGATAGAAATCAAAACAGAATGAGCCCTTCAAAATTGCCAGCTACTCAAAGGACTGACTCATTTCCTGACTTGGCAGCCACTGTCTGATGAGTCAGCCTGACTGAATGTGCCCTGACCAGGTTCTACAGCTATAATCAATCTTTACGACACAAAAGCTTGTATTTCAATAAGGCAGGAAGTGTCATAGGTAATGTTTCAGGTGGCAAAGGTGACAGAAGGTTCATTAGGGATAAAGATGGGAAAAAACCCAGCTCAAGTGAGGAGCCAATGAATAGAAAACACTTCTGAGACTGCAATCAGGAGACGGCGTCCCTGATAGACACAACTTCTCAGGCTTCCTGCAGAGCCCAGGACTTCGAGCACCGACTCTGTCACCTATACATTGTGACCCCAGTCACCTCATCCATAAAGTGACCCACAAGGTCAGTTACAGGTCTAAACTGTGATGTACTTTACATAATGATCTCTGCTCATCTACCAGGTGAGGCAAAAGCTATGCTTCACACCTTTAAAAGGTTGGTTTTTTTTCCTAAAACTATTCCTTTATATGACAGTGGAACAGTGGGGAAAAAAGTCACGTTGTATTTTACCACAAATTGCCATTTTCCATCGGGTCACTGGGCAGAATTCGCACTGAAGCTGTCTTCCCGCGTACCACCGTCCATTAAACAGAGAAAGGGCTGCTTGGCATTCTTCTTCCCTTGAAACCACAAATTAAAGGATGCACTTTAGAGTAACTTTCTAATATGCAGATTAACCCTATTGTTAATTAACCCTTGTATTTGTTTAGTGTAGGACCACCTAGTTCACTGCTTTTGTGCTACCTAGGGAGTCCTTATTACAGCATTCAAGGTCCTTGAAGCTCACCTCATTCAGGAACCATTTTGTTTTTTAGTTTTTTTTAACCAACCCTCCCAGAGGTTTTGATGCAAGGAAATCTACTTGAGTCAAAGCTTCTTAAACCAAAAGATTGGACCATTAAAAATGCAGAAGTGTTTTCCATTGTCACTGCCTGTTCCTTCTCAGCTCAGATGCTGTCCTTCCTATTATTCAATACAATGGTTAATTTATCGCATTAGCCATGGCAGCACAGGGAAACAGCAAGACGAGCAGAAACAACACACTAACTGCTTGCTCTCTTAGCGGGCCAAATGCACACTGAAATTATTTGGGGCTTTTATTTGGGGTTCTCTATTGTAGTTATCCCTTTTCAGTTTGTGTTTTAATTTTAAAATTATATAAGTAAAAAATTAACTATAATGCAAAAAATTAAAAACTCTCTAAGTATACGAAAAATGAAATACAAATATATAGTTTTCTAATCCTTTCCATATTTCTAGGTCAGCTCTTAATATTTACATTTTTAAAAATACCATGCATATGAAAGGTATGTATTCAGTGGAAAAATCCCAGATGTCAATGTAATCACAACACTATATTGTGACAAATGTGAAGATGTTTATGTTTAGAATACTTACGATTGATATTGAACATACACATTGCCCCTCAGATGAGGTTCCAAGTTGCAGCTGACCTAAGGAGCAATGAAGAATTCCATCATTAAAAAACAAACAAAAAAGGCAAAAACCTAAGGAAAAGAAGCCCTCCAGTCATCAAACGCATTTTTTGTCCAGGCCAACATTACCAAAAGTTGTTATCAATCAAAGATTCCAAAATTAAGATACTACCCCACTCTTACGTCTATTTAAGGCATACTTCAGCAGACGGTAGTGTTGCAGGCCCCAATTACCTGATCCCTGTTGATCCTGATTCTTTTTTGTCCAAAGATATGAAATGCTTCACACATGCATAAAAATACAGAGACTATTTTAAAAAAAGAAAAAAAATAGAGAGACTAGAAATCAGCCCCTATATACACCACCCAGATTTAACCCTAACATTTTCCATTTTTGACTGAGAATGTTTAAATACATAAAACATGAAAGATCCAGTTGAAGCCCTTCCATCCTATTCTTCTCCCTCCTCCATCACATAGGTGAACACTATCCTGAGGTTGGGTGTAAACTTCACATTCCAAACACACACACACACACACACACACACACCCCTATCTACACAGACACAATACCCACAGCCATACATACACACAGACAGGCATATACACATATATCATATGTGTGCCATAAAATATATACATATATTATGTACAGACATACAAAGAAGTGTATGTCTGTTATGTACATATGGGTATACACATATTTATGTACATATATGCTAAGAAGCACATATATATATTGATAAACAATATACAGTATGGCTTTGTACATTTTAAAATTTTATATAAATATTTATTTCACATCCTTTTTTCAAGATGTAATCATGTAAACTTAATGACTCATTTTAAACTACTGAATACTGGCTATGTCAAATTATCAAATATATTTATCCACTCCTCTAATGATGCATATCCAAGGTGCTTCCAATTTTTCATCAACAAACAGCGATGCAGTCAGCATGCCTGAACGCCTCTCTGGGCGGTAGGCCTTTGTCTAGTGTGCATGACCGGAAGTAGTATGCTGATTTGTAGGTTCCATGTACTTTCAACCTCACTAGGTACTGACAAACTGCTCTCTAAAGTGGTTTTACTAATTTACACAACCTCGCCCATGCTTGATATTAGAATTCATAATTTTTTTCCCGATGGGTATGAATAACATCGCATTTTAATATGCACTGTTCCCATTACTTGTGAGGGTGAACACTGACCATTTGTCTTAAAAAATGACAAATCTGATTTCGTTTTACATAACGGTATAAAAAGGTCCTCAGGGCTTCCCTGGTGGCGCAGTGGTTGAGAGTCCGCCTGCCGATGCAGGGGACACGGGCTCGTGCCCCGGTCCGGGAAGATCCCACATGCCGTGGAGCGGCTGGGCCCGTGAGCCATGGCCGCTGAGCCTGCGCGTCGGAGCCTGTGCTCTGCAACGGGAGAAGCCACAACAGTGAGAGGCCCGCGTACCGCAAAAAAAAAAAAAAAGTCCTCAAATATTCATACTAATGTTTAGCATTTCTTTTCAAAATGAATCTATCAATATAATTTTACAACTTAGTTGCAGAGTATTTTTATTAGAGCATCCCAAGAGAGGCAGGATGCGTACTGACTGACAGTACTGACTGACACCATCCTTAGAAGGAAGACTAGGGGGGTTTACCTAGTGGTGCAGTGGTTAAGAATCCGCCTGCCAAGGCAGGGGACATGGGTTTGAGCCCTGGTCCAGGAAGACCCCACATGCTGTGGAGCAACTAAGCCCGTGCGCCACAACTACTGAGCCTGAGCTCTAGAGCCCATGTGCCACAACTACTGAGCCCGTGCACCTAGAGCCCGTGCTCCGCAACAAGAGAAGGCACTTGCAACAGAAGCCCACGCACCGCAACGAAGAGTAGTCCCCGCTCACTGCAACTAGAGAAAGCCTGTATGCAGCAACAAAGGCCAACGCAGCCAAAAATAAAATAAATAAATAGATAAATTTATTTTAAAAAAAAGAAAAAAAAGGAAGACTGGGGACTTTCCTGGTGGGCCAGTGGTTAAGACTTCACCTTCTGCCTTCCAATGCAGGGGGTGCGGGTTTGATCCCTAGTCAGGGAGTCGGGGAGCTAAGATCCCACATGCTTCTCGAAATCTTAAAAAAAAAAAAAAAAAGAGAGAGAGAGAGAGAAGGAAGACTGAAAGGCCCCAGGAGGCCACGTGAGCCGCACCAGGGCCCTTAGAGATCATTTAAGCCAGTGGTTCCCAAAGACCCGTTATTAATTTTCCATGATGAATTTGATGTTTTGGAAATTTTTCTACTAAAAGCTTATTAAACAGCTTTCCATTTATAACTGCCAACGTGATTAGCATGAGCCTGGCTGACAGAATTCTCAACAAAAGAAAAAAAAAAAACTCCACGGTTAGTAGGTACGGCCTGTTGCAGATAATGGGGGTGATTTCCATTAAGCAGCCTGAGGTGTTGAAAGCTCCAGCACTAACTTCCCAGAAGCAGTATGATGTAGGGACCCCATGCGGGAAAACACTGATGTAGTCCAGTCCTCACCCTTCAGGGATGAGGAAAAGGCACAAAGAGGCAAAGAGCCCACGGCTAGTCAGCACACCAGCTCCTCAGCGGTGCTTCTCACGTGGCACCGAGTCGTGTGTGGCCAGGCACTTAGAAGTACTGTGAAGACGGGAAAGTGCATGCAACAGAAAGAAAAGGTAAAGGGGAAAGAGAAATTTTGAAAGAATTTTTTAAAATCTTGAAATCAGTAGTAAGAAGGATAGCCTTGAATTTCACGAGGGCCGCAGTTGCTCTGTTTCTTAGCTGTTCCAAATTTCCATTGTCATTTCCAACTAGCAGAAAAAATTCACAGCTTTATTCCTATCTCTTTCCAAATTATGGGCCATTTCCCCCATCCTAACATAACAAAATCATTCAGGTTCGGATCTGATCAAATCGCAGACAGCAGGAGACTTCACTGTGCTAGGATTTGACCACTGGGCCCAGGAGCAGCAGCCATTACACCTGACTTCACGCTTGCTTTAAGGAATGTTTTAAAATAACTCTGTAATCTGAACACTTCTTTTACCCCCTATGCTGCATCACAAACCATGACTCTGGGAACACTATTTTCAGTATTGAGAGTATTCAGTGAATAAAAACAAAGTAAAAATAAAAAATGAAAAGGAATCAAGGTTTATGTTCTTGGGGAGCTCCAGAAGAAAGAACATGCACCTTGGGTGGAAGCTGCAAGCAGGCACCATCAACACAATACAGTAACAACAAATCAACCACCTCGGTAGGTGGAGTAAGTAGAGGATTGTCACACTCTGCTCTCCTCGGCTCTAGGGGAGACCGGCCACGGGAGGGAGGGCATTCCGCATCATATGCAGCCCCTAAGCGAATGCTTGGATACCTATCTGCAGAGGACCTTATGCAGAGAATTCACAGGCTGCAAAAGAATGGGACCATAAAGGTACTGAATGGATGAAATATCTTTTCCCATCAAAACCTCAGAACCCAGGAAATGTCATGCTAGTACCTGTTTAAGATTTCAAGTAGTACCTCAACCGTACTGGCAATGAGGTGGATGGAGAGAGAGAGAGAAAGAATTAACATTTCCTTCCAACATGGCGCCAGGCCCTCCACCATAGCGCACATCCCACCCAGGCAGAGAGCCTGTGCCCTCGCTTTCCCATCCCATCCGGTGCTTCAGAGGGAGGCGAACTAGTCCCGTCCTCCGCGCGCACTGCATGTGCCCACCTTGAACTGTATCACTTTCCCCACGTTCTTGAACTCGGGGAGCACATCGTCATAGAAGTCCAGGAACTGCTGGTAGGTTTCCTCTTCGCTGTACTCCAGACTTGCGTCGGGGTCATAGTCGTCCCTTCTGCACTGCTCCATCCCGAATGTCGTAAACATGCTTTTAATAAGAAGGGTGGGACTTGATGCCGGGAAATTGTGTTTACGTGAACACCTGCGTATGAAGGAAAAACTTCAGCATTCCAATGGTGAGAAATTACACATAAAAGGCTTGCTTTAAACTGTGAGATACTCAAGCAACTTAGCTGTTTCAACTGAACTGTAAGATGATAAACCCCATTCAGACTTTAAATTTCAACACTTAAAACTGTTCTAGGGCTTCCCTGGTGGCACAGTGGTTGAGAGTCCGCCTGCCAATGCAGGGGACACGGGTTTGTGCCCCGGTCCGGGAAGATCCCACATGCCGCGGAGCAGCTGGGCCCATGAGCCATGGCCGCTGAGCCTGCGCGTCCGGAGACTGTGCTCCGCAATGGGAGAGGCCACAACAGTGAGAGGCCCACGTACCGCAAAACAAACAAACAAACAAACAAAAAACTGTTCTAAGGGCTTCCCTGGTGGTGCAGTGGTTAAGAATCCACCTGCCAATGCAGGGGACATGGGTTCGAGCCCTGGTCTGGGAAGATCCCACATGCCGTGGAGCAACTGAGCCCGTGCACCACAACTACTGAGCCTGCGCTCTAGAGCCCACGAGCCACAACTACTGAAGCTCGCACGTCAAGAGCCCGAGTTCCGCAACAAGAGAAGCCACCGCAATGAGAAGCCCGTGCACCGCAACGAAGAGTAGCCCCCGCTCGCCGCTACTAGAGAAGGCCCGCACGCAGTAACAAAGACCCAACGCAGCCAAAAATAAATAAATTTATTTAAAAAAATAGTATCCAGCATTAAAAAAAAAAACTGTTCTAAGACTGACCAATATATTGGGTCTCATTAAAATGTAAGGTTGGGAATTATTTCCAAGTTCAGATGCCATTCAGCTGCCTTTTACTGAAGTTCATGAAGCCTTACACATGTGGAAGCACCGGGAAAGAGATGCATGGGCATGACGGACCGTGATGAAAGGCACACAGACACCGAGCATGGGACTCCGGACAAGGTGAGAACAGTGCAATCCTGGTTCCATACAATCGCCAACAAACCCGACACTTAGAGAAAAGGGTATTCTGAGAGTTTCAGCTAAATGGATTGCATTTCATAGTTTTCATGGCATTTTTATATTCTTTTTCTGATCCTTGCAAACTGTTAGGACAGCCAGGGCTAGTATTTTCTCCACTTTGAAAGAAAGAAAGTGAGGCCTAGAGAAGCACACGTACCCAGGTCACATGGCTGGGGAGAGAAGATCCCAGAGATCCGAGCTTATCGACAGTCTACTGCCTGTGTGTTATATGATGTGCTAAATGTAAGGAATTTCTCTTTAATGAAGGTTAACCATTGTGAAGAACAATTTTCTTTTCATAGCTTAAACTGGACCGGGTTGTAACTGAGTAATTTTTTTAAAAAATCTTTTATATGAGTTTACTTTCTTATTTACTTCCTTCTCCTCAAGTAAAATGAAGGAAAAAAAATGCAGTTTAGGATTCCAAATCATCAAAATTTTCCTGATTAAATTTCTAGTTTAAAAATTAGTTAAAACAAGAACTTTAGAAAAAAATCCCCAGAACTTTGGAAGAAAAAAAGTTGAAAAACAAGGCAGGTGTTAGAAAAAAACAATGGCCCTGAAATGAATAAACGTTTAACTCATGCTCACTTTCCAGTGTCTGTAACATACATCTGTATACCTAGTGAGACAATGCACACAGAATGCCCCGCATACACCATGCCCAGCTCAGAAATGGGCAATCTGTGTTCATTAAAGTGAAATTTTCTATTTTTCAAAGGACCCTCCTAGATTATTCAGTCAGAGACCTTGTAATGAGATCCATCTTCCCAAGGACAAATACCCACAGAAAAAAGAACGAGGATTCAACCTGGTTGGCAGTGTTAGCAGAACCAGAATTTTACAAGTATGGAGCACATACAGAATTAAATGAGAAATCAATTTGACAAGGTTAAAATTCTCATGGGATTATCATAACTGAATGAACTTGGCTCTAGTACCCAGGATGTCAAATGAACATTTGTGAGTTTTGGAACAGCACCAAAGTCCCCATCTAGGGAAAAATCCCACTTGGCCTAGAGATAGTCCATATAATCTGAGCGCATTTAAGGCCAGCCCTATAGGTTCTACTGAAAAGTCAGCTAAGACAAGAGATATTTGGGAAGGCAGTCTAAAGTTGTGGTACCAAACCCATGTGATTCTCAGAATCACCTGGGAAGAACTGAGATTTCTCAGGTCCTGCCCTAGACCATCTGTTCAGAACTCCAAGAGTGGGGAACCCATGTTTTCAGAGTAACTCCCCACCTGGTCCTGAAGGTTAGCCATGTTTGGGGACTCCTGGTTTAGGCCATGCTATTTACTCAGATCCTTGAATCAAGTAAGACTGCCACAAAATCATGTAGTTGGACATTATCTTAACCAAAGGACAGCCAATAAATGGCATGGGTCTCCAAATGCCCCCTCAGGTAGAGCTAACTGACTATGCCTCTTTTTCTTTTTTCAGGGGAGCACTCCAGGCACCCACTACCTTTGTCCTTTATAGAATCAAGCTACATGCTAATAATCACATGCTAGGCTGTGATTATTTACTGAAGGTCTTTGTGAGAAATATTCTCATGAAAATTACATATGCAACTGTTAATAAAACATCTATCAAAGTTACTGTCCACCTTCCTACTCAATGTCTTTATACAGTATTCCATGGGAGAAACATTTAGACTCTGATGCCTGGAAAATCTTTGTCTTTCCAGAGATCCCACTCATTTCCTTTTTGGTAAGAACTACATAGCTCATTTCTGCCTGGGATGGATACAACTCCAAAGCCAAATGTATTGTACGTTCACAATAACTCACTTTCTTCTCCTTTCCTTGCTTTCAATTTCTTTTATTTTATTAAACTTAGTGTAGTAGATTGTGAGCCTTCTTTATTTTTCATAAATTTATTTATTTATTTATGGCTGTGCTGGGTCTTTGTTGCGGTGCGCTGGCTTCTCATTGCGGTGGCTTCTCTTGTTGCGGACCACGGGCTCTAGGCGCACAGGCTTCAGTAGTTGTGGCACGTGGGTTCTAGAGCTCAGGCTCAGTAGTTGTGGCACACGGGTTTAGTTGCTCCGTGGAATGTGGGACCCTCCCAGGCCAGGGATCGAACCCGTGTCCCCTGCATTGGCAGGCAGATTCTTAACCACTGTGCCACCAGGGAAGCCCTGTGAGCCTTCTTTAAATCACTTCTGGAAACAAGTGAGGTATAAATAACTACTCTGATTAATAAATTTTACTTTTCATCAGTGATTATGTTCTTTTAGGACCAAAAAAATAAATAAAAATTGAACTCCCCTCAAAGCTGTGACTCCAAGTGCAAAAAGGTTCTAGAATCAAACTCGTACTAATTACGAAAACAAAGCAACCAAAGAAATGCTTAGCTTATGGGAGTGCCTGATGTTGTGACAGACCTTAACAGAAAAGAACAGTTGTATGATCTGGAGCAAGTCACTGGGGCTCTCTGTGAAAGGGGGGTAGTATCTTTGTTTGAAGGAATGGTGCTGGATTTTGTAATTGCTGGTTTCATGGAATCTTATTTCACAACTGATCACTTGAATCATGCAAATACCCAAATCGCTCTCATACTTTTTTTTGATAGTTGTGATGGTGAAATTTCACATGCCTGTGAATATATTAAGAAAGGTTCAAAAACTAAGCTGACCACCGTCAATATTTCCTTGAAACGGCCCTCAGGGATGGGTTTTGAGAGCCTGACAGTCCATTCCCCTTTTCACAAATAAGTACTGTCAACTGATTTCCTGAAACCACTTAGGACATCTCCCCTTCTCTCACTTATGCCCAGCAGAAGACTCCAGAATCCGATGACCACAAGTCTTCACATTTAGGGAAATGTTAGAGACATATCATAATTGAGGACTCCTGCAGCTGGGAAACCTTACATACAATTTGGTTTAATCCCCCACCCCTACCCCACCCCCGCCAATGCAAAGGTGACTCACATTGAGTCTCAACTGTCTTTCAAAGCTAAGCCACTGTACACTTTTTCTTTGGTGGGGGATGTTTTACATCAATCATTACTTTTTTTTTTTTTTTTTTTTGGTACGCGGGCCTCTAACCGTTGTGGCCTCTCCCGCCACGGAGCACAGGCTTCGGACGCGCAGGCTCAGCGGCCATGGCTCACGGGCCTAGCTGCTCCGCGGCATGTGGGATCTTCCTGGACCGGGGCACGAACCCGTGTCCCCTGCATTGGCAGGCAGACTCTCAACCACTGCACCACCAGGGAAGCCCCAATTATTACTATTTTGATGAAATTAAACATACATTTGGGAAACACTTCTAAGGATACGAAGGGGGGTAAAGTCTTTCTCCCCTCCTTAGTTCCCAGTTCCTCAAGAGGAGACTTTCACTATTGACCGGATCCTGTGAATCCTTTCACAGATATTCTGGGCATATACAATCCCAGCTATAAAATATAAGAGGAGTCACAAATCCTACATTAGTGACTCTCAATCCTGGGCCCATCAGAAACACCTGAGCACATTTCAAAAATTAGGGTGCCCAAGTCTCAGAAACTCTGATTTAATCAATTTGAGGTAGGATATAATTTTTTTCAAGCTTTCTAAATGATTCTAGTGTGCATCCAGGGTTGAGAACCACTGTTCTTAAAAAATGTAAAATGATGTGAAGGCTTAAATTAAAAAAGAAAGAGAAAGCTAGAGAAGGTTCACATTTTCAAAGAAGGAAATAAAATAGCATGGAAAATTTTATGAATAAAATAAACATGAGAGACAACATACAGTTTCTCATTAAATACATATGAATTTGCCTATTCATATTCCTTTTTATGATGAATAGGACACTAAGATATAATTAGATCTTTTCTTCTGCAGAATGAAAAGTAATAATTAGATTTTGCCTCAGATGGATTTACTCACCATTATGAATTATTTATCTACTTTAAGCTGTTCATTCATAAACAAGCCAAATTATAAAACTCACCATTGCCTGGCATACAGTTGGTATTGAAATATTTGCTAAATGAATGAAAACATCAACACTTAGTTTTTCACATGAATGTCTTGTTTTAAAATCATTGATCCAAAAGAGGGAGGGAAGCAGAGTGTCTCAGAGAATAAGGGCAACAGTAACGAAATGAAAATACGAGCAAACACTCAGAACTTGCCATGGGCCTGCCATGTTCTCCCTGCTTTCCCTGCATTCACTCACAACTGCCTTAGAAGAGGGGTACTGCTTTTTTTTTTAATTTTTATTTATTTATTTATTTTATTTAGTTATTTTTGGCTGTGTTGGGTCTTCATTTCTGTGCGAGGGCTTTCTCCAGTTGCGGAGAGCAGGGGCCACTCCTCATCGCGGTGCGCGGGCCTCTCACTGTTGCGGCCTCTCTTGTTCCGGAGCACAAGCTCCAGACGCGCAGGCTCAGTAGTTGTGGCTCACGGGCCTAGTTGCTCCGTGGCATGTGGGATCTTCCCAGACCAGGGCTCGAACCCGTGTCCCCTGCATTGGCAGGCAGATTCTCAACCACTGCGCCACCAGGGAAGCCCGAGGGGTACTGCTTTTAATCCCCATTTTACAGGTGAGGGAACTAAGGCACAGAGGGCTTAAGTAACTTTCCCACCTTGACAGCCGCTAAAGCCGGATGTTGAACCTGGTGTCTGTTCCTGAATCAGAGCAGACTGAGAACGCGTATTAGAATTTTCCTCTACTCACTCGGCTCCTGTCTTTCACAGATATCCCTTTGGGCATGCCAGTTTTGGGGTTTTTTTTTTTGCGGTACGCGGGCCTCTCGCTGTTGTGGCCTCTCCCATTGCGGAGCACAGGCTCTGGACGCGCAGGCCCAGCGGCCATGGCTCACGGGCCCAGCCACTCCGCAGCATGTGGGATCTTCCCGGACCGGGGCACGAACCCGCGTCCCCTGCATTGGCAGGCAGATTCTTAACCACTGCACCACCAGGGAAGCCCGGCATGCCAGTTTTTAAAGCCTCTTTTGTGTACAGTGTTTGCCATTCAAAAAATAAAGCCAGACTGCTCCAGTCTTTTGAAACAGATTATTTCCCCATCCCAGCTGTCCCATGTGGACTAATACAAGTGCAGGAAGGAAATAAAAGCAAAAGGTCTTCAGATAGCTGTGGGAGGAACGCAAAGGAAGCCCTGCCAGAGAACTGGACGAAGCCCACCCAGAGAAGAGGTACGGGGGTGTGGAGGGAGCAGGGGATGCTCAGCTGGGGGAACCGGAGCGGCAGCAAGAATGCAGCAGATGCCTATGAACATTTCAAACTCCAGCCCGTGCCAACTCAAAAACCTCAACATTTTGAGTCACTTAACTCTGACACAATAAAGCAAAATTGGTTACCTATCTCCGAATCTGCAAGCTCCTGTTTTACTGTAGAATGGACAATTAGCTCGATCTTTTTCCATTATCCTCAATTCCATGGGTGGTTCTGGGTTTTGCCATGTGGTGCCATTTTCCAACTGTTAAAAATAACCATGACTTTACTTGGTGTTAAAAATCCATGAAGAAGTAAATGTTTAAAAGGTATTCGAAATATTTTGGTCAAAAATAAAAACAGATTCATGTAAGAATATACACATTCAAGTTGTATCACACAATCTAGACTCTACAAACAATTGTCGTGAGACAGGGGCTATATGTCTCTCCTGGCTCCCAGTCACTGCCCATCATCAGGCATCGATATGGCTACCAGGAGCAGTCACCAAGGTTTCCCTTCTGTCCATCCATTCCTAAAAGGGTTGAAGGACTTCTTAGGGAACCACCCCCTGAGACCAATCTAAGTTACTGTGAATCAAGTTAAACCATCCATCGGGGCGTAAGTGTGTGTGATGCTGGTTACACACACTTTAAGGACTATAAACAAGTCCAGTCCACCAGGGTAATCTTTGCTTTTGTTCATCAGTTCAATTTTGTTGTTGCTGCGGTACAAAGCACAGAGTCACACAGGAGATTCCCACATTCAGACAGGATCTAAGTAGCTTACCATGAAATTAACATTATTGGAAATATTGTTTTTAAAGAAATGTTCATCGGTCTCAAATTCTTAATGAAAGGTTTTGAAAATACCTCATTTTCAGCCTGCTCCAGCATCTTCTGCACAGCTTCCTACAAATGGTGCAAACATAGGACTAATGAAAACCTCAAAGTCAGGTAAGTCACATCTGGTTTCTCTGGTTAAGAATCTCATGTGTCACAATTTTAAAAAAAACTTATGCACACAAAAGGCTTCAGGTTCTAATTTGCTTTCTACAGCACATATAGCTGAGAGTCTTCGTTCAACTAGGACATTTAACAGCACACATTGCAAAACATAGTCTTCTAATAATTTCAGTAAGAGTAGTATTTAGTAGATTTGAACATATATTCCACATTCTAGTTTTTAAGATGAGGTATTAGTGAATATCATAAAAGACAATGCTAGCTGAAACATCACAGACATTTAACAGATGCTACATTATGACATGAACAGCAGCAACTGGGATTGATAAAAAATCTCAAACTTTCCGATAAGGCAAAGTCAGTCCTGAAATATGCCAGTAAATTTTGACCTCCTTGGCATTTAAATAAGTTTTAAATTATGTTCGACAGACTTCTCTTCCCTAACTCCTTAAAGCATTACATAGAAGACTCATATGTCTAGCTGCTTACTTGATTAACTCTGCCTGGCCATGTAAGGGTCCTCAGTAACTTAACGTGCTCAAAACAAACCTCACTCTTGCCTACCCCTTGCCCATCTAAATGCCCATCTCAGTAAACGGTGTTGCCATCTGACCACCTGCTCAAACTAAAAAGCTAAAAGTATGACTTGAATTCCCTTCCCGGTCCATTCAGCCTACCAGCTAGAGTTCCGTTGACTGTGCCACGACTCACCCCAAATCTCTGTACTTCTCTGTATTAAGCACTACTGTCATCCAAACCACCATCATGTCCTGTCTGGAACAGCAGCCTTCTAACTGGTCATCATATATCCACTCTTGCCTCCTTGGTCACCACTCCCCACCCCCATCCCCCATTCTTTATACAAAAGTTAGAATGATCTGTTAAAAGTAACGATATAAATTAGATGAAGTCAATCCCTGATTAAAAACCCTTTAATGGCTTCCCATGACACTTTAGGTAAAATCCAAACTCGTCCTTCCCACCCAGGAGGCCTTACATGAATGACCCTGCCTACCCTCCTGACTTCCTCCCCACCCCTGCTGCCCTTTCCTTTGGTCTCTAGGATTCAGGCACCCTGACCTCCTTTCAGCTCCACGCTCAGGGCGTCCCCCCTCTGCCTGGAGCCCTTCTCTCTGAGATCTCTGCATTCAGGCGTCAGCTCACACGTCGGCTTCTCCTTGGAGAAGTCTTCCTGGACAGGCAATCGGAAGAAGTACTTTCCTACCCCAATCACTCTGTCACATGACATTCTGCCTTATTTCTTTTTTTTTTCTAATGCTTTATTCCTTTATACCACTTAACATTACCTTAGAGCACTTCAAATGACCTTTTTTGCTTGCTTATATTCAGTTCCGCCATCTAGAAACCGAACTCAATGAGTACAGATCTTTTTTGCTGCCCTATCTCCAACCCCTAGAGAAGCATCTAGCTTACAGGAGAAACAAAGAATGCAGATCCCTTTATATATGCTTAGAATCGACTTCATTTTACCCACTTCTCCTTAATGTCTCACCAGACTTCCTTTGAAACAAAAGCGTTAGCTTTTATCTGGTGCCAGAAAGACCTCAGTTGAAGAACATTCCACTGTTAAAATGGGAATTTATTACTCTCTACTAAGAAAATAACAAGCTCCAAACAATTTTCCTGCCCCCTAAAAACTTAGCATGATCTCACCTCATCTGGAAAGCAGTACTCAAATAAGGGTATTTAAAATTTGCACTGGAATTAACTGATGGCCTGAGACAAAAGAAACAAAGGTTGCTTCTACCCCATCATGACCAGGATGTAAACAAATGCATTTTTCCCCGTAATCTGGTGATTACCCAATTTTATGCTATTCATACATAGCATTATCACAGAAAAGATACATCCTGATGAATCAGTCAAGGAAAGATGAGCTGTGATATCTTTGAAATAAATACACTGTTAAGGAACAGCAGCAAAATAGACCAAAGCAATCTTTAAAAACAATCCTGGAAGATATAGAGGATATATACATATACCTTATAGATTCTTTTTTTGTGTGTGAGCAACTATAGGTTAGCTACAATTGCCTTTATAGCACAAGTTAGAAAGGAAGTCAAGATTTAATAACAAAAAATATTTCCTCATCCCTCAATATTTGAGTCTGATTTCTTTCAATCTATTAGTTCTTGCTGACACGTCCAAAGCAGTGAAGTCTCTTATGAATCAAACAAAGGTGGAAACTATACAAAATAGTATTCTCTAAGTAAGTCAACCCATATACAGCAAAACCACCGAAGAACACCATTTGCTCTAGAGTGGTACAAAGTGTAAGGCAGGGGCCAGCTGCCGGTTTTTAATCAATACAACAATAAGGTTTTATTAGAACATGGCAACACCCTTCATTTTCGTGTTACCTATGGCTGCTTTCACGGGACACTGGCAGAGTTGGACATTTTCAACAAAGACCATACAGACCATAAAGCCTAAAATGTTTACTCTGGCTCTTTACAGAAAAAGTTGGCCAATCCCTGGTATAGAGAGTAAGGTCGGCAGAGATGAAGGAAAACCTTCATTTAAGGCATCTGCCACAGCACCCACCCAAAGAAGAGCATCATAAGGAAACGCTAGTGTATATCCAAACTAAAAACATGACTCTTTCTAAAGAAAAAAACAAGTCCAAACCTGACATGCCTATAGCTTATCCTTCAAGCCTATCACCCGCCCCATCTGCTCACTAAGAGGATACGCAGTGCATCTATCCTCCTGTGACGGGAATCACCTCTCTTTCCTTCTTCTCCTGTAGCTTCTGCTGCTCCTCTTCTCTCTCTTTTCTCTGCTGTTCTTCCCATTCTTCCTTTAACTTTCTCTTTACAGAGGAAAAAAGAAAGAAGAAAGGTAATTATTTTTCAGACTCACTTTTTTACATTTCACATATGGGGCAAATAAATGAAAAACTTTAACACTGGTAAAATGGATAATATCCGATTTTTAAAGTTCAAGGTATGTAACTCAATGAGAGTCATTTTGGTTAACTGGTTATCTGATTAATACCATACCTCTTGCTCTTCCTGCCGTTTTCTAGCTGCCTCTTCCTTTTCCTTCTTTATTCTGAATTCTTCTTGTGCCTTCTGTTCCCGCAGCAACCACTCCTCATGTAATTTTTGCCTATTGATGTAACGATGTGATCAGATAAAAGGAATGGGCACTAATCTACAAATACATCCACACACATATATGATAGCAAATGGGATTTTGGGAATGACGAAAGTATCATGAAAGATATTTTCTAGAAAGCAGTTAAGTGGAGGTAAGAGGATCGAGAGATGAGTAGTGATATTGGAAAAGCACTACATTTTAGCATATCCTCCTAGAGGGTGACAGCATAAAATCACTACTTCTACATTTCCTATCTGTAATATCTTTACACAAAACAATGACACTCTAGCTTTCCCTTTAGGTTGACCACAGTGATGTGTGGGTGCCAATAAAGTGAGTAACATCCAGCTTTTCACATTCAGGAAGTACCACCCTTCCTGTTCTATGCATTTTGAACGTGCCCATCGCAGGATTGCAGCATGATAAAAACCTGACATCTCCTGCTGTAAACCCTTGGACTTCTACTCTTTACAGCTGAGAGACTCCTGTGGTTTGCCCCAAGCACCTAACTGCTGAGAGAAGAAAAATAGAACTACATCGTGATCGTGTCTTTAAAATAAAGAAAGCTACAGGTTGTAAGAAAAGATGACAAAGAGTTACAAAAACAGATTAGTGGGTGTCTAGTTTATTTTTAGAAATGACCAATTATAAAGAGTGATCTTATCTTAAAATGGTGTCTCAGATATCCAATACCACAAGTTTCCAACTTAAAGATGGGTTATATTTCAAAAGTTTATTAGCCGATTAAGTGTTTAAAACCTAGACTGCATTTTCCCACTGAATTTGTAAAAGGAAAATGAAATATGAGAAACTGTTCTATATTACTTCAGGGACATTAGCAGTTAAATAAGGTTTTATGTCTAGTCTGGGGACCCAACCACAATTTCAAATACTTGATGGGAAAAAGTATTCCATTTCCAACTACAGATTCCAGGAACCCATCTTTTAGCCATAGTAGACACTGGCATGTTGCATCTGTCAACGTTCCTGTGTATGTCATAGAGTATATGTAAATGTTTCAGTGTGCAGAACTCTGATTCATAAACCTTTTGAGGAAGATATTCATTGTAAATAAACTGAACCAAAGTGTATATACATTTAAGACCACAAAAAAGTAAAATATTACAAACTTTAAAACTTAGTAACTTGGATATAATACTGAGAACTCTAGAACTCTGGGCACATAACTCTGTCAACCCCCTGCACTAAGAGACTTGAGCAAACTCTAGCATGCCTTTTAGCAGCATAAGGCTGTGTCCCTAGGATGACCCCATCACCTCCCACCCCCCAAGACGTTAAAATGCCTGCCTGAGAAAACTCAGTGCTGCCTAGAAAATGGACTGTTTGCTCTGGCCAACACCTGATAATAGGCCTCTGCCTTCCCTCTCCTAGAGCATCACTCAAAAGGGCTCGTAATTATGAATATGTGTCTCTTACAGCTCATAAGGGTCTCTCTCAAGGGCCTGAGAGCCATTCCTGGGAAATGCAGTCATTAAGAAGGATGAGGCCTCTGGCTCCCAGTCTCTGTGGGAGGATAAAGCCCTAACTTCCCTAACTGCCCACTAATGAACACAGCTTCCTGGTCACCTTCACAGGGAACAACTCCTGGTACTGTTCACTTTCCTCATTCTCCCTTTTAAATGCCCAAATCGCCTCTGCACAAACCAGAATGGAGCTCAGGTCTTCCCCTACTGTCAGGAGTTACTGAATAAAGTTTGTTCCTGCACCTTAATGTCCGGCTCTGTTTACCTTTGACACTATACACCTCCTTTTAAGTAGTACATAAAGCCATTCAGTATTTTCAAATAAGTTTCCTGCTTTTCAACAATAAAGTATTATGCAACTCGTATAGGAATAAACAAAAATCAAGGGAACACAAAGACATGTGTATGTGATTTAAAAGAAGCATCTAAGTAAATGGGAAAGCAAGAAAAATGACTTCCCTATTTCATGCCATACATATCATCTTTATCATTACAGAAATCTCTAGTAGTAAGAACAACCAGAGATATTACAGCACCTCCTATCTGCTCACGCTACGTTAAGCGCTATACACTTACCACCTCATTAATCTCATTTAATCTCCCCAATTCTATGCTGTAGGTACTATGATTGATGGTTTTTTTTTTGGCTGCATCATGTGAGATCTTAGTTCTCCAACCAGGGATCGAACCCGTGCCCCCTGCAGTGGAAGCGTGGAGTCCTAACCACTAGACCACCAGGAAAGTCCCTGTTTATGTCCATATTTAAGGCGAGGAAATTGAAGCTTAGAGAGATTAAGCAACTTGAACACAGCTAGTAAGTAGCAGGGCCAGGACTGCAATGCAGATCTGGCTGAATCCAACTCCCTGTTCCCAATCATTACTACTTTTTTTTTTTTTTTTTCAGCATTTTCATATTTCCACCTATTTATGTGCTTATTTGGGTAAAAGGAACTAATTACAAGAAAAGAAGCAACATTTCCAGTGAACACACTAAATAGCTAGACAGGACCTATAAAGTTTTTTCTCCTTTAAAAAATTATTTATTTATTTTTTATTGTGGCAATGTATACATACCATAAAATTTACCATTTTAACCATTTAAGTGTACAGTCGAGTAGCATTAAGCAGATTCATATTATTGTGTACCACTTGGGGAATAAAAAATAAACTACCCCCTGAAAAATACCAAAAGAGAAAAAGAGCAGAATATTTTTGTCATCTGGGGATGGGGGCGGCCTTTTGAAATCAGACATCAAGGCTAGATAACACGATGAAATTGATGACATGGAGATCAAATTATGTGAGTAACACGATAAGCCAAGTTAGGACTGATGACAAATGAGAAAAATATACATCACACACATGACAGATAAAGGATTAATATCCTTAATCAAGTAATAACATTGCTTACACAACAAACTTAAAAAAAAATGAATCCCAAAAGAGAAAGGTGCAAGAACTAAGCAAGCTACAAATAGATAATATATAAAAAGATATTCAACCCTACTAATTAAGAAGTGTACATTTGAACTCTTCTCAATACTCTGTAATGGCCTATATGGGAAAATAATCTAAAAAAGAGTGGATATATGTATATGTATAACTGATACACTTTGCTGTACAGCAGAAACTAACACAACATTGTAAATCAACTATACTCTAATAAAAAAAATTTTTAAATGTACATTTGAAACAATGAAATATGACTTTTCACTAAAGGAGTTTTAAGAACTGATAACGCCTAGTGTGAGTGAAGGTGTGGAGAGATGGGCACCTTGCTTCACTCTTGGAAAGGCTGCAAACTGCAATCTGGATGCCCTTTCTACCTGCCCATCTACCTTTTACGTGTACTTCTCCTCTAGGCATTTTCATAAGGAAATAATAGGACAATTACCATGGATTTATAATCATGGATACTCACTGCAACTTTTTTATAATAGTAAAAAGCCTGAATGTAAAATAATAATAAATTAATAGTAAATAAGAGTAAATTAATAGTACATGGTAAGTGAATGTTATTTAATAGTAAATAACCTGAATGTCCATCAGTAGAGAACTATAAATTATGAATAGAAAATAAATTATGCCAGTCATACAATGGATACTGTGTTGCTATTGAAATGGTTGAATTAGATCTCTGCACCAACACTGAAATAAATGTCCTATATAGCGAAAAAAGCAATCTATAGAAAAATAGGTATAAATATCATCCCACGATAGAAATATACATATATACTACATCTACAGTTTCTTTCTTACCTTCTTATTGGGGCTATCTTTGGTGTGTTGAGTTTACTGAAGCCCTTTCACTGTTTACACTTCTTAATTATTTGGATTTTTTTTCAAAAACATTTACCAATGAGCAAAAAGAGTGAATAATACTTTTTTTTCTTAAAGACAATATCTTTTTTCAGCCCATCAGCTAGCGGTTTAAACAGTTTATCCAGGGTATTTTATAAGACCTATTTTGTATAAGATTGTATAAAGAAGACCCGCCCTAGTTAGCGAAGATTTAGGATATTCAAGTAAAATAACTGGGTTCGCAGGAAGCGCTTCAATCAGTGCTGACCTCTCTCTCTCCAGCAGCCTCTCTTCTTCTCGTCGTTGTTCTTCAATAAAGGCATCCGCCGCTGTCTCCTCCTCCTCCTTCTGTGAGAGTCCTGAAGGAATGTCAATGTTTTAGTACACTATCTGTATATTACAAAACCTTGGTCAATAATTCAGGGAAAAACTTACATACAATTTTTCATCTTTACAATTATGGTACAAACCTGTTTTTAAAACTTTCTAATAATAAAGGGCCCCAATCGCCCAAATTGGAACAATGTGAACACTGAAAAGAACAATAATGGTAGTAGATAACATATTAAACTTAAAAAATTTATTGATGGTTCCATAGTGATACCCCAAAAGATGGTGAGGTGTGAGAGGGAACATCCACCTGTATAGAAGAATGGCAACTAAAAAATGTAGAAAGACTTAAGTAGAAAAGTCCTCACTTCTGCACCCCACTGTAGGAAGAGGATATTTATTTGGGAAGAGGATATTTATTTACATTATCTCAAAATATCAGCCCTCAGACGAGTACTAATTACAAAGGCAGGAACATCTTTTACAATGGAGCCATCTGATTGGCAACACTTAGACCACACTTGCATCATTAGGAGTGGAACAACTTGACATGAGAGGCCCCCTGATGTATGCAATGAGAGCTACACAGCATCAGCTTTGTAGTATTTTGCTATAGAGTGTAACCTGAAGCCAATCAGAAGACAGACTAATCTAGAATGCAGAGCATTCCACGAGACAACTGGCTTGAGCTTTTCAAAATAATCAAACTTGAATTGGGAAAGTTTAAATATGGCCTGTATATATATTACTGAATTAATGTTCCTTTATTTGTTTAGTATTATGGTCCTTATTCTTAAGAGATGCAGGCTGAAGTATTTAGGGGTAAGGGGTATGTATATGCAACTGATATGCAAAGGGTTCAGAAAAAATTTGTACATATGGCTCTATCTATCTATACATAGAGAGAAAGTAAGGCAAAATGTTAACAATTGACAAATCTAGACGAAGGGTTCATGGATGTTTATTGAACCATTTTTTCAACTTTCTGTACATTGGAACATTTTCAAAATAAAAACATGGGGGCTTCCCTGGTGGCGCAGTGGTTGAGAGTCTGCCTGCTGATGCAGGGGACACGGGTTTGTGCCCCGGTCCGGGAAGATCCCACATGCCACGGAGCGGCTGGGCCCGTGAGCCATGGCCGCTGAGCCTGCGCGTCCGGAGCCTGTGCTCCACAATGAGAGAGACCACAACAGTGAGAGGCCCGCGTACCGCAAAAAAATAAAAATAAAATGAAAACATGGGAAAATAAGTTTTAATATAATAAAAATTTATATCCTCTTCTACTCAGAATTTAAATTTGAGGGGAAAAAAGGAGGAAAACTGAAGTGATCTTAAGGAAATATAACAGAAGATCTCAGGCTAAAAGGAAAAATATATTGTCTGTCACATATATTAAGTATAGGTCTAACCAAAGGCTCACCCAGTCCTAGATAATCACCATACAGCTGACCCTTGAACAATGCAGTGGTTAATGGGCACTGGCCCTCCACGCAGTTGAAAATCCATGTATAACTTAGAGTCGGCTCTCCACATCCATGATTCCTCTGTATCTGTGGTTCTGCATCCTTGGATTCAACCAACTGCAGACCATGTAGTACAATAGTGTTTACTATTGAAAAAAATCCATATATAAGTGGACCTGAGCAGTTCAAAACCCATGTTGTTTAAGGGTCAAGTGTATATCTAATTGTATTATACATGTAACTGTATATGGAATCATGCTACAATTCTGCAACTTGCTTTTTATCCTTCATGTTACCTTAATTTCTGATAATGCAGCTTGTTTCAGATTATTTCAAGTAGAACTGGGGGCTAAAGAGGCTACCTGTAATAGAGAGGTTGATACTCCAGAAATTTCTACCAATCACTTGCCAATTCACTCTTATAGCAATCCTTACAGAATACTTCTATATTCTAGCCTTCTGTAATGTTTGCCCATGCAACGTGTGCTACAACCCACAGCAGTATTTGGTAGACCACACTATTCATGAAGCACCACTAAGTAAAGAATTGTGAGTTGGAGTAGGCTAAAGCAGGAGCAGCCATCCAGAGACAAGCGCTTAGTCTTGGATCTCTCATTAGCCATATATAATCACGAGCAGACCAGTGAGCTGCATCCTTCAATTGACTAAACTGCCAAAGGACACATCCACCTGCCTATTCACAGAGGCTCACTCCAAATGCACTTTACAAAGTTAAAGGGGAATAAAAAATCAATGGAATATGTTGGATTTAAAATATGTAAAGAAAAAGAAGACTTTTAAAAAGTGGGGGCATGTTACAAGAAAACAAAGTAAGGAAGCTGAAAACTTTAAGAAGGGTGGGAAATCACTAAGGGCATCAATAACGCCAACCTAACCTGTTTTTCCTTTTATCCCTGATGCTTTATCCTGCCTCTAGTGGGCCAGTTTTGAACGAATAAAACAGAGATGCTAATACAGGCTGCAGGGCAACGCACTGCCCCTTCCATTCTAAGTATCCCATGTAATGCTACTGAAACAGTTGCAAGGTAACTCCAATGGTAAGTAAAACCTCCATGGCTATTTTCTCAAGGCTGGAGAATCCTGGTTCCTTGAGTCTGTGGACTTCAAGAATTGTCTAGGATAATTTAACAGGCATATTCTGGCTAATGTGTATGGTAACCATTATAACTCAGTACTCCTGCGTGATTTCAGTGCTTTCATCTGCATTTATAACTACACTATACAACTTTACAACTAAGTTCATTAAACAGGTAGGTTTAATATACAAATGTTAGATTCTGCCATGAAGGCCAAATGACACCACCATCAGTACAGATGAAGGTTCCACAGTATTTTAATAGGAAAAAAAAGTGATAAATAACCACAGGGCAACAGTAGTAGTGGCATTCCAAACTCCACTCAGTACCATATTCACGTTGTGAGCATCTATTTCCCATCATCCCTAACATTACATTAATGTAGATATGGGGACTACCCTGGCGGTCCAGTGGTTAAGACTCTGAGCTTCCACTGCAGGGGACTGGATGTATAATTGTATAATTTCACTTGGTTTTGTGATTTGTAAGTATATCGCTTTATAAGTCAAGTAAGTTTCACAACTAATTTTATGCATATATATTTAAATAATGTCAACAAGGGGTCTCTCATGTTAGTGAAATTTAAGAAAAACTTGCAAAGTGTCTAAAACCCTCGACTCCTGCTGGTTTTACAAAGAGAACTATTCACGGAATACTTTTTTACTATGTGCAAAGGCTGTGCTAGCTACTGTAATTCGTAATGACTGCACCTGTAATATTAGATACTTCATAAATACTTAACACGTAATCAGTGGGTGATGATTCACCGTGACTTCCCCCCCACCCCTTGAGTACGTTAACATTGTTTCTGACATGGGTCTAACACAACTTTTTGAGAGGCCGTGGCCACAGCAATTCTTTTTCGGATACGGTACTTGCTTTCCTTCTGACACTGGGGCCTCAGGACGGGAATCGGGGGAGCAGTTTCATACACAGAAAACAGGATGAATCCATTACCTGAGTCTCTCAGTCGAGCGAGTTCCTGCCGACGTTTCTTTCGTTTCTCCTTCTTCAGGGCGGCCCTGTACTTTTTGTGGCTGGAAAAACAAGACACAAACACACTCCAGCGTCAGTGGCCGCACCTGCAACGCTGCCTGAGCTCCCCTCTCCTCCGCGCCCAATGACAGGAACTCGTTTGGGCGCTCGAAAGTGAAACCTTGCTTCCCGTGTTTTAATTACAGAGCATGCTTTTACCATCGCCTCGCCATCCCCTGCGCAGACGGCAGGTCTTCTCCATCCCATCACCTGTACCCCTCCTCGCCTCCCTGAGCCCACAGATGCCCGCGGACAGTCCGGGGCGCGCCGAGGGAAGGGATCGAGCTCCCGCAGTGGCTTATCTGCTTGGTCCAGCTCCCTTTCTGCCTGCAAATCCTTCAACCCAGCCTCGGTCCACTCCGTCCCCTTTTCTTGTCAGCTCACCTCCCCCAACCCAGCTCACCTTAGCTTCTCCGGAAACATTATTTTCTCGGACGCCGCCATCTTGCCACCACCGCCACGCCCCGCAACAGTCGGCCGGAAGGGGCAGGCTTGAAGGCGTCCGCAGCCGCGCGCAGTTGCAGTCGTTGCGCGGCCTCTCGGGCTAGAGGGGCGGTAGCCTGTCTCCACCTTGGCTGACCAAAGACGGACGACGGGAGGTAGGTAGCTCGTCTTCCAAAATCCTGCACAAGTAAATGTCTCCTTCTCGAAAAATCTTCTGGGCTCCTAACCCGAGAGGGAGTGATAACGTGTTTCTCTCCTTCCCCAGTGCGTTATAACTCCCTCTCCCCACCTCATTGTGAGGTGTCTTGTGGCCAAGAAGGTAAAGCCACACCTCCCCCTTTCTCGTCCATTCACAAAGCCTCATCTCTCACGCTGCTCGCCTTGCTTTCCAGTCCGAGGCTCTGGCTCCTTCCATAGTTCCACCTATCAACGCCTTAGACAAAGCTCCTTACGCCGCCCCCTTCCATTCACAACTGCCGGCTCTATAGGCGAAATTAACTACGGAGGCTGCAAAGGTGCAACCTCTACTCCCAAGGAATTTACAATCTAGAGGCAGAGAAGGACCAATTCATAGATTAGATAATATGGTACAGGCAACTAAGATTACTTAACATAGTCCGCCTGGAGATTCAGGGAGAGCTTTCTGATGCCTGAGTTGCTTTGAAGGCAGACGACCTTTACTCAGGTGGAGAGGGTGGTAATGGAATTGCAGGTAAACCAGCATAAGCAAAGGCACTAAGAGGTGAAACAAGGTGGGATCTGCCAGAACCGCGAGAATTTTGGCCATCGAATATAAAGGGCAATTTGAAAGTTTCAAGGAATACAGCGGTATTCCTTGAATACCGCTGCGGCTAGGTTGTGGAGGAGGGCCGTTCCAAGAAGCCTCAGTTATGCTCTGTAGGGAACAGAGAACCGTTGCAAGATTTTAAGTTGAGGCTTGTTGTGATCATATTTGTGTTTTAGGTAAATTACTCTGGTTTGCAATATAAAGGGTACAGCCGGAATAACGCAATCTAGGTGAGAGGTGACAAGGAATTAAACTGGGGCAATTGGGTAAGGGGCTGAGAAAACAAAATAAACCCTGCTAATAATTAGACCGTGATTTACACATACAAGGCCAGGGACAAGACCAAGAAAAAAGTGTTTCTCCCAAGGACAGATTGCGACTGCAAAAGGATTAACAACCCCCATCTTTTGATAATTGGATAACTTCCCTGGCTTACCTTTTTCCCTCTCTCCTCCAAATCAAAATTACTGAGATACCCAATTACTAAGCTGCCTGTTTCCCTAGTCCCTCCTTGAAATCATTCAGCAGAAGCCCAAACTCTTCATAAACTGCCCTACTCCCTCTTACAAAGACACTTGCAGTAACAAGCCTCCAAGTGGAGCTTGTCCAGCTCAGTGCATCGGTAATTAGGGACATAGACTTTGGAGTTGGATGGACTGGGAATCTCAAGGCTTGGCTCTCTGATCTTGAGTAAATTCCTAATTTTTTTTTTTCTGGCCGTCCTAACCACTGGACTGCCAGGGAACTCCCAGTTCCTAATGTTTAGTCTTCAGTTTTCTCATCAGTAAAAATCAAGGGAATGCTATATGTTGGCATAGTGCCTGGCAATAGTTAGTGTCCCCAAAACTTTATCTGTTATTAACGGCAGCAGCAGCGTGAAAACTTCCCAACCCCCTCAAGAGTGGGTTAGGTACTTGTCCTGCGGGTGCTCTCAGCACAAGTATTTCACCTTTTATAACACCTATCACACTATACTGTACTTTGTTGCCTTCATAAGACTGCATCTGGCACTAAATCTTAAACTTCTTGAAGGTGAAGACTTGGCAGTTACGGCCTCTAACTAGAGAATGCCCTGGGTGGCACAAAATATAGCTGTGCAAATCTCCAATTTTGCTGGTTCCTGTGACCAGGACTTATGCTGAGAATTGCTGCCATTCTGAAAGCATCAGTGTTTGGGTTGCTGTAACATTTCTTATGAATCAGACCAGACTTTCATGTCAGAATAACTAAGAATGTCTTCTAGGAAGAAACTTCTAATTAAAAAAGGATACAGATTTCGATTTTATTCTATTATGATTTAGAAATGAATGCAAATCTCCTTTTATAGGAGTTAGATGTTTATCTTCAACAGTTAACCGCTGCGTTCATTTTCATGAATAAACTTAAATTGCTCAAGTTAATTTCATTACAGAAGTTACTCTAAAAGCCAATTCCATTTCCAAACTACAATTACCATCATTTGAATTCGATAAATCATAAGATAAAAATAAGGTATGTAAAAATGTAATGCAAAGATACATTCTACTATGATATTCTGATAAATAGAACAAATTTATCTTTATTCTGCAATGTAACATGTATTTTCTATTTTTCTTGGTGCCTGAAATACAACATCTACTTATTCTCAAATATATATGTTTTGGTTTATCCCCTCTCTATGGGAAAAGGCCTAAACTTTTGTCTTATTTTGTCAGTAGAAAATAGCTGATTGTTCTTAAAAAGTTAAAGAAAATATTTTACTCATATAAATGATGTAATAGATACTACTATTACTAAATATGAGGGTTTTGTTTTGTTTTTTTCTCGGACCAGGGATCAAACCCGTGTCCCCTGCAGTGGGAGTGCGGAGTCTTAACCACTGGACCACCAGGGAAGTCCCTAAATATGAGTCTTAGTTATTATAAAGTGACCAAAGAATGATCCATAAATGTATTTTTCAATTATTGCAAGCATAAACGGAGAGCAAGAAATGTCTACTTTCTGAATGCCAGGTTGGAACTCTTTAAATTAATTTGTTTTTTTTCTTGCTCTAGTAGGACAATGGTACTAGGACTCACTGAAAGTTCAATGCAGAAATTCTCAGGAAAGAACATTTCATTTCTCACCTACCATTAATTTCAGTATTAATCACCAGATTTATTCAAGGACATACAGTGGGGTCTCAAGTCCTCTCCAATACTCATTGCTATGCCAAAGGCTTTATATATTTTCTAGATTACAGTTATCACTTAAAATAGCAAGATAAGATACTTATAAATGCATATTAATATGAAAATGCATGCAAATCTATATTTGTGCAACTGATTAAAAGTTTTCTTTGGAGCAGGGAACTACCCAGTGGTAGTTATTCTTTATTCAATCAATTCTTATTCAGTTATTAGTGAATAAAGTTATTCTTCATTCAGTTAATATTCTTATTGATTCTTTTGTCTAGTGATAAGCTCAAAGCAACACAACTCCTGGAATGGTGGCAGAGTTGATGTCCCCACCTAGAACCGAAACCGAAGTACCATTTTCGAAGAGTAGGTTGAATTTGATAAGCAGGGATCAAAATGTACACAGGGACAAGTGTCTTAGTCTGTTCGGGCTGCCATAACAATATACCAAAGACTGGATGGCTTATAAATAACAGGAATTTATTTCTCACAGTTCTAGAGGCTGGGAAGTCCACGATCAAGGTGCTGGCAGATGGCAGATTCACTGTCTGGTGAGTACTTCCTTACTGATTCATAGATGCCCATCTCTCTGTGTCCTCACATGGTGGAAGGGCTGAGAGAGCTCTGTGTGGTCTCTTTTATAAAGGCACTAACCCCATCATGAGGGCTCCAACCTCATGACCTACTCACCTCCCAAAGGCCCCACCTTCTAATAGCATCACATTGGGGGTTACATTTCAACACAGGAACTTTGGGGGGATGCAAACATTCAGTTCCTAACAACAAGAATGCATTACTATTTACATGCAAAGTAGCCAGTATTGTTAATATGTACTAATTACATGGTCAGATTGAGCTTATTTGCTTAATTGAACTGTAACCATTTTGATCAATAAAATTTTGCATGAAAGAACTTAAAGTTGAATTAAAAAGACAATAAAACATTAAGTAGAATAGGTATCAAAAGTTGAGTCTTCTAGTGAACAGAAAAATACCTAAAGTGATTACAATACTGTAGTTTTGCTAATACTGTGCCAAAAGAATGCGTCCCCAAAATGAGCAAGGGAAAGACATCTTCCTAAACTTTTTTGAGGTGGATGCCTGGTTTTAGAATAGCCAACGTCACCCTAACCCATGTAGCCCTGGGAAAGGAGAAAGGGGCTAGAAGCTTGCCCTACTGGTGATGTCAGCAGATTGTCACTGGTTCCATAGTGAGCTGAGGAGCAGCGGGTGGATCTTTCCATTCCTGCCTCTCTAGTAAATCCCTCATGAGTTTTCCAGTCACTCTCTGATCTCACGTTGTCTCGCTAATCGTATAGATACCTTACATGCTCAAAAAAACTAATAGGAAGAAAAAGTCATTAAACAAACATTAATAGTGTAAAGAAAGGGTTTTATTATATTATTTAATGAAGATAAGCAGCAATTTTAGTACAGAATTCTTTCTCAAGCCCTTTGTTTCCCCTTCATGTCTAGGAAGGCACAAGTAAAACACTTTTTGGAGGCAGAAAAGACTTGAAAAGTTTCCCCTGAGGGTGTATCAGTAGCCAGGGAATTTACATCACCCCCTTGGGGGTCATCTGACTAAGGCATGGAAGAAACCACATCCCCAAGGCAGTTTCCATAACCTCTGCAGAGAAGGTGACCAAGAATTTGTCATGCAAAGCAGGACATGGTTGAGAGTGAAAGAGGGTGCTGTTAATAACTATACCAGAACACCAGATGTAAGTTGATCAGGGGTGGCCAGCAGGGACACACCCTATGAATACATCCTTTGTATCTCTGAGATAGAAGGGCAAGTCAGGCATTCTGTGAGTCAATTTGGAAGACTCACTGCAATTGAATTTTGCATTAAGAATTTGCAAGAGACTTAGGAGGGAAGCCTGTGTGCCCTGAAAAATGCATATCTTGTGTGTTTACCTTTTAAAGATAACTGTGGTTTAAAACAGAAAAAATATATAAAGTTAACATAACTTTTTCCCCATATTAATCTTTTAAAGAATTTTATTCATTTCCTAGAACATATATGCTTCCCTTTTCCAGAGAAGGCATGCACTCTAGAAGCAATGCCTTTACCCCCTTCCTTTTTTAAGAGCAGAGATATGCCCCCAAACTTAAACATACAACTCCAACCCTATTTTTTTCCCTACTGAATTTATTAGTTATTTTTAATGGTGGTAAAATACACATTAAAATAAAATTTGCCATCTTAACGTTTTTCAGTGTATAGTTCAGTAGTGTTAAGTATATTCATCCAACCTTATCTTGC